ACTATCGCTGCTACTCGTATCTCTGTAAATACGTATCCTTGTCTTTTCGCTAACAAAATTGTCGTAAACCCTTGGAGTCTTGCGTTTCCTTTCGGCTATACATCCACAACAGCAATGTGAACACTGATATCGCCTTCTATCGACAAATTTTGGAACTATTTTTTTCCTTCGGCAAGCAAAATTCCATTGCCTTACTATTGTTCTAGTAAAATATCAAGTCATTCTGACTGGTAGTTTTAAAGTTACAGCGTTTTGAAATCGCAACTTTAATTATTATCACCTTGTATTTGCAATACTAAAATTGAAATGTGTTCGCGAGCCACATAAAATTACATCAGGAACCACACGCGGCCTGCGAACCCTCAGTTTGAGATCACTGCTTTAAAATGTATTCGTAATTTCACTAATGGAATATCCTGGCATAACTTACATTGGTTAAAACAAGAACAATAGTAGGCACCAGAAATTGGCGTAAATAAATTCTTTAATTTCCTTCTATTATTCGGATGTACACACATGTTACGTTCTTGTCATTTTTAAGATGAAAGGATATTCTCTTTAACTTTCAAAACTGCAGGTTTACCTAGATTGCGATTTCTATTGCTTATTATCTATTTCTTTGTCATTTAGTTCGTTGACATCTGTAATTTTACACTACATATTTTCAGATGAACACCAGGTAGTTTTTGTACGTTCAAGGAGCGTTCCCATGACGCCTTAAACATCACAGTTGTTCCAGTTAATAAAGCAGAAAAATCAATAGTTTTGTTCACACCTGTCAAATAGTTTCTAAGCGGTAGTCATTCAAGAAAAGTACGTATTCATAAATGTATCTGCAGACTTTCAACTTGCTTGCTTTAGTATAATTATTAGGTGCATCATTAACACAATTTTGAAATTATTTAAAACATTTAGCGGAAATCTTTATATATTATTTAAACATCAAGTAAACTCCGCACCTCAGAAGGGTCGAATTTTTTATGGTTATATATCTTCTGTATATATTTAAGGTAAGATTACCTATCTAGAACTTTAAAAAAAGGAAATTAAACACTAAATAAAAAGCGAGTGAAATATTAAAATTAAGCAATTAAATAAAAATTCCTACAAAATTTTAGTTTAACAATAATTCTACATAAATTTAATTAGATTAAATAAAATAGTTTCTCAGAATTTTTGCAGCTGAATAAAATGGTGCCTCAGAATTTTAATCATTATTGCACACTCAGAATAACAGATGGGCTGTCAGGATGATCGTCTTCATTACTGACAGTAGCAGCATCCTCAGTAATAAGAACTGCTTCAGTTTGTGGAGGAAATAATAATGTTGGTGACAGCACATCTGGTTGCCTTGAAGTTGATGGCAGTGGATTGTCAAGTTGGGGATACTGCTACTGTTTCTTTATCCTTCCTTCTTGTTTTCTTGAATATATCGTGCAGTGTCTGTTGCTTCATGTACTCGAGTGTCTCTAATTAATTTATCTTTTAGCTAGTAAAGAATCACGATAGCATTTCGTTCAGTTACAATGCTTCGTTTTTCCATTCCAAGGAACAGTTCAGCTGTTAACGTAATTATCTTGTCAATACAGATTACTGTAATATTTTTCTCATTTTTTCCACTGCTTTCATATTGATCACAATGTGTACAGGCATTTCTCTCTGGTCATTTAACCGTACCTAAAATTTCAGAACCAGTGTAATGATCAGTATAATGAAGAATCAGTCTATGAACATTATCATCAGCAGCCATCTATTTCATTAAAGCACCTTTATTTATCCCTGATGAAAGCTCCTTTATATCAGAATTAGTTATATCATTAACATAAGCAAGAATTTCATGAATAAGCTACTTTTATTAGAAACCCTAACTTCTGCAAAATTATTTCCATTCTTTTCATTATAATGAGAAGTAAGTATTAAATCTGACCACAATTTATGCCATTCCCCTTTTCAATGTTTGTGATTTTTTTTTTCATAGACCTCCGCGCATTTCCAACATAGTACACTACAGCATCAACGCTGAATTCGTTTATAAACTTTTGTACTGGAATACCTAAATTACTAAAGTCATTAAACACCTCATTAACGTACACTTTCGAGAACACAGAACATATAATACCATTGTTATATTGCTGAATTAGTGATATTTGGTTTGGTGAGACACAAAGGGAGTTTAAAAGGATCGACTTTGGGATGTGTCGTACAATTATCAATAAAAAAGTATCTTATATTTAGGGCATAGTCCAATCAAGTTACAGTAAACCCTCTTCTCATGAACGAAACGTATTTTAAATCAATCCCATCCTTTCGTGTTGCCATGGTAATGGGCAAGAAACTATGTCTTTCCCTAAGACGCTTAAATGTTAACTTTTTCCGATAAAAATATCTATGGGTCTATCGACAGTATTTGAGCAGCACAAGCAAAGCATTACCGTCACACGATAATTCGAAGCTTTCAGTTTCGATGGCTACTGTGCATCCTTGGTTGTCAGAGTTTTTTTTTTTCTTTTTTTTTTTCTTTTTTTTTTTCTGGGGGTGTGGGCGGGGATGCCTCTACAAACCGGCAGCCTCGTTAGCACTGTACGATTGCACTGAATTTAAATGTTTACCATTAATTAATTATCAAACTTCATCTACATATGCATAAGCCGAATCATTTTCCGCTGAAAGTTTCTCATCAAACACCGCATGAAGCTCCATGTCAAGCTCTGAAATGATGAAACCAACCTTCTGAACGTTCACACTTGTGTTGCATTCTCGGTTCTTTATAAAACATTTTAACTTCTCTTAATAAAGCATTAGAAATTTCCACATTTTTTTACACGAAGATTAAACCAGTTCACGAGAACTTGGTCCAGTTCCGAACTTTTTCTCTTCGTCACTGACTTCCTTACGAACCTCTGCTTTGGCCTCCTCCAGCCAAAAAAATGGAATTTTTTTACATATTTTAGTATCATACACCGTCGAAGATGCAATATCGTATACCTCGCAAATGGTTCGCACAGACAAGCCGTTATCAAGCGAGGTTTTTATAATTTCCTTTTTTCTCTGCGTCAAAAACGCAAATTTTACACAACCTCCTTTCTTTGCTGAATCTATTAACGGAGCTATACGACAATAAATAAATGATAAAATTAGAATGAATAACATTGTCAGCACTTGCAAGCAAGAACAAACAACTGCTTCAGAAGTACAGTACCAGCAAAACAGAAACGTCACTTCCAGAAAATACTGGCGTGCTAACGTGGGACTTTTGAAACTTTACTCCGAAATCTATGCCCAGAAGTTTGATGGAATCGGATTACTGATGGCAGGATTTTTGAGTGTCAACCTATGCCAGTTTTCGTGACTTAGAATGGTTTAGTGGCTTAGTAATGAAGTTCTGCATGCATACGCCATTTGGGACCCTTAATGCTTTGTTAAGGAATAAAACGACTATTTAATTATAAACATAAGGCTATAATAGACGTTATGCCTGTATATCCAGCGACTAAAATTTAACAGAAGTTGTCTCGTGTTTCAGTTACGCATGGGACAAAGACAATTAGAACCAAGACAATAATCGTGCAGTCAAACCATTATGCCATAGGAAACGGAACCTGGAACAAAATTACCAGGGTTAAAATATTTTACATAATTCGACAATGATTTCAGTTAAGATAATAACATGATGTATCATGCACAATAAGGACATAAATAATCTGTCATATAAATGTTATTACATACTTTTCTCCTAAAGAATGTTGAACACAATTCATGAAACGCGAAATTCAAATGAGCGTGGAAGAATTTTTTTCAGTAAGTCATGGTTTAAAATTATTACATTGTTATTCCATACATTCTTAAGTTCAGTACATGATAATTTGGAGAATATACTGATAGTTTTGCTTAGGTCTGAGATGTTTTAATGGATCGAATAAGAATAATTACTATGTCTAATCATTTAACGTTCCAGCAAGTTTAACCAGAATTCAAGTTCAGAATCAAAATAATGAAACTTTTAAATTTTCACGGTTTTCAAAGCATTTTTGAAATATACACTGCAGGTTTTAAGTGATGAGTAATACGAAGATTAAACCAGTTTATGCGTTTAATCTTTCTTGTATAAATATTAAACCAGTTATTTATATTCTTAAATATAAATACATTCAAAAGAATAAATTGAAGAAAAAACTCAGTATACTGGAATTTATTTTCATGATAACATTTTTGTTTACCCCTTTATTTTCTAAATTACTTTATTTTTTGAAAAAGAGTTTGAAACCTTTTTAGTATATTTCTTTATGATTGAAAAACATCTCGCATTAAATTTACAAAAATGTAGTCATTTTTTTCATTGTTTTTTTAATTTAAAATTTGGGCTTTAAACTTCCATTGAGACATAATTAAGTGATTTTGTTAATGGGACTTTAATGCCCCATCAATAAATCCATCGGGAAATAAGGGGTTAAATGAATTGTCTTAAATGTCCCATTTGTTCAATGCATTTTCTGAGCTTTAGAGTATACATTCAAAGTCGCAATCAAAGACTTTTATACTTATTTGTTAGGCAAAAAATAGAATTATTCATAAACATTGTATACCATTTCCATTATTAATAGATGTATATTTCATAATTTGCATTAAATTTTTTAAGAAATAAATTTTCGAATTCTATAAGAAACCTTTTCGCCGTTGCCGCGTACGAAATATGTATTTACGGTGGTTATGATCTTTTTAAACTAAATTTGCATATCAAATTAAAACTGTAATTTGTACTTATTAAGTGCTTGTAGCACGATTTGAATGATACCGATTGAACATCTGTAATCGCCAAAAGCGTAAAATGCAAAATACTCAAAGCACATGCAGCATGCTCTGAAAGTAATTTCCGCTATAAAAATAAATAGCAAGATCGTATTAAAATAAACCTTTATAATAGTAGTGTTTGTGTTTTAAATATACCCTTAATATTTTCTTAAATTATTTATATATAGAAATAGACAAATCAGTGAAAAACATTCCAACACAGAAACTATAACTTTATTAATTCATATAAAACAATATTAAAATAACAAGCAACTATATCAAAATAGTTCATAATATTCAGGGACTAAAACGCCTTTTCTATTTACAATATTCTTAAAATATTATAATAATTGTATAATTTGAAATAGTTATGGAATGCATGAGTTATTTCTCATCCATTTCTTAGAATGCAGTTCTGTTTGCCTGTTATGAAAAATGTGTGTAAATTGTTCAAAATATTTACAATAGGCAAACTTTGTTGTAGTTGTTTCTATACTTCTAAGATTTGCTAAGAGTCGATTGTATTTGTTGATTGTCAGTGAAGCAGAAAGTTAGAAAAGTCAAATGATCAATTCATTTTAAAAAATACAATATTTAGCTTAACAAGTTTCAAGAAAGGTTAATGCTTAAATTTTGTATATGATCCTATGCGAATATTTATTAACCAAATGGTCTCATAATGGAAATCTGAAAGACTCGCATGATATGCTGGATATACATAGTTATTCCGCGTGAACAGCAAGATGGAACTCTTTTTCTTTCTGGTTTGAAAGAAATAAGATGCAAAGTACTCCTTTTAGGCTATATATACAGAAACAATAGCTGTTACTAAAAATATTCATGAAATGTTATAAAAACACGGTAATGCTTGACAGTTCCTTTACATGACACAAAATGTCTTCACGATTGATAAAATGCCTCTTCAAGATTGTATCTCCATTTTCCGTCCTACTCACCAGTAACAAATCAGCCACTCCTTCGGCAGATGTATTAATCACTGAATCTGAAAATATATAACCCATTCTATATTAATAGATGACAATTACAGCACTAACAGTTTCACTACTTAAAATTACATTAGTCGAAAAGTTGAGTGAAAAATTACATGCGTTATTTATGTATATTTTTAAGTGCTAAATTAATATTGTTTTCATTCTGAAAAGTTAATATCTCAGCATATCAGCGGACGATATGTTTTCTCTCTCTTATTAATGCTAATTTTTTTTAATTTAAAGATTAAAGTACTTTTGTAAAAAATTGAGAGTATAAAATACAGGATTTTGATTTAAAATTATGATCAACCGGATTTATCGTTTTATCACATTGATTAGAAAACAATAGAGAAATTTTGATTGCCGAAAGTTAAGAGCATAGTAGCACATTATTCTCAAATCTAGTTTTTTTTAAATATATTTTTATCATCTTGACACTCTGTCCTTTCTTTACCAACTCCATTGAACATTGGTTTTGGTTTTATGAGATTACGGCAAAGCCTCGAGGGCAATCTGCTTAAGAGAAGGGATGCCTTCGGGGAGGAATTTCTGAGGGAAACTGGCTCGTATACACGTTACACATGAGAAAAACCAGGAAAAGGCCATGCAGGATTCGAACCTCGAACCGAACTACTGGCCGCTGCTCGACCAACTCCGTTGAATAACCGTTTCGTTAATTTTTATTATTAGGTAAATGATGCTCATGTGATAATCTGCAAATCTTCATAAATCCATGTTATAATTTTATAAGTCTCGCTTGCTCGGTGATGCTGCATACGTTTGCTAAAAGATCGAGGTATTATTAGTCATTATTAACGCCGAAGCTGGTTTAAGAAATTCCGAAATGGAAATGTTAACTTGAAGATAGGCCTAAAATTAGACGACACAGAGAAATAATGAAAGGACCCATTTTGATCAAGGCATCACTGGTAAAGAAATATCGGAAATGCTTCACTGTGCACTGTCAACAGCAATAGATTGTTAGAACTGAAAAAAAGCTTCTCGTGCTGGTGTTTCAGATCCGCATGAATTCACAATATTGAAAACCGGCAGCAGAGAGCATCGATTTGTCATTTCTCTAAATCACAAGAAATGAAGTGCTTATTTTTTAAAAGTCACTCTAGGTGAAAAACGTTATATACGTTACTCGACTGAGTAACGCATATAGCGTTTAGGCAGTAGTCAAACTGAACGGAGAAGCCAAATCTCCCAAAAAGCAGGGTTGCATGTCACGAAGAATTTGCTCCGTAAGTAGTGGGAAATGAAGTTGTGATTATTTTGAACTGATAAAAAATAACCAAACATTAACTGAGACATCTGTTGTCATCAGTTGGATAATTTGAAAAATGCTTCAGCGATTCTAAGTAATGATGCGCTGACCTCAAGCAGATAATGCTGAATTACATATAAGACTTGATAAAAGCTTAATATTCGGAAGTTCACACATTAACATAAGAACCCATATATTCCCTCACGCTCAATTATTGCTTGTGTGCCTGTCTTCAGCTTTTTCCAGTTGGAAAAATGCACGATAAATAAGAGTTCTAAAAGATAATAAATAAATATTTTACAGCAAAAGTCAAGCGAACTTTCAAACAAAAAATTGCAAATCGCTGATTGATTGATTAACTGATTAGAATTTCAAGTACAATGACCATATTTGACGATCTTTTATGGATAACTACTCCAAAATGTACTTTCCCGTTTTTTTAGACTGTACCTAGTAATTCGCAGGTATGTAGGCGTATGATCTTCTGAAGTTCATGAATTACTTCCCTTTCGGCATAGCAAAGTTTCGATGAAGAACAGGATACATAGCTATATACATGCATGCATCAAAAATCGATTTTACAAAATGTAGAGCAAAATGATTGCAGGTCTGCTTCCAGAAATAGGAAAGTCGTAGGAGCCATGCATATATGCATACTAGAAGTACTTTTAGGATGACAGTATCCAATATTTACTAATGTATACTTACATATTTATGTAGCACAATTTTGGAAGCACTGATATTAGAACACTGAGATGTAGATGCGTAGAAATGCTGATTGAGAAGATACTTGATGATTAGAACGTCCATCCATTTTGAATAAGAAGCAGTTGAACCGGATTAAATTCCATATTTATTTAAATTCATAACGAGAATTTGAAACTATAGCGATAAAAGCGAACATAGCAGCATCTAGATGATTGCAGCAAAGCGTCGAGCCACGAGGAAAGCACAAGCAAAGGAGAAAGAGTGTCGCAGTAGTAATGCAGAGGGAGAAGGAAGGGAGTCAAAGTTTTGGTTTACAGTTAATTTTGATTGGGCAAGAGGCATCCGCATTGAGGGTTACGTAAGATCGCATGATTAATTTCAATGACGCAGTTTAGACTTGTAGCGCTATTTCTAAAACCAAGAGAGGAAGTCCTCAAATTAAATAAAAAATAAAGGTTATAGCCAATTAGTTTTAGAAGTTTGCTTTCATATTTTTTACCTTATATATATGTGCCAGTGTGCGTAATAAAAAAGAGACAAAGATGCAGTATATATGATGGCATATTAAAGCGCAAGAACTTTGATTGTGTATAATGCTATTACATAATGAAAAGGAAACTTGGCAAATTGAATTCTATTTTTACTTATTTGTGGCCACAGTTTTCTTGGCACTCTAATAGTTTCTATTTTCCAGAAAAATTACATTTTTGAATACTGCTGCGATAAGAAGATAGCGAGGGAAATAGCGTCCAAGCAGCACAGAAGTTAAAGCTAAAAGTGCGCATTTAATCTAGTATTTATCTATTAAGAGAAAGGTTTTGGTTTAGGTTAGAAAGGTTTTAATTTTCAGAGTTTAGGTTCCGAATTTACTACGTCATCCGTGGTACACCGCTTTGGCATAGATTAATCTAGAAATGGCGAAATCCAGAAATTTTTCTATTACGACTTTTAGAATAGAGAGTTAGAATTAAGGGATTACTGCTGGTTCAAATTATAATTTTGTTTTATATAAATTTTATCTTTCACACACACACATATACATATGTAAGATAAATTTATAACTTTAATTTGCAATAAATCCTGAAGTCTCCTTTTTATTTCTACATGCTATTCTAAAAATAATAGCATGCTTATAATAAATCCCTGAACTGCGTCATTTTCAGATTAATCCTTATTATATGATTCATACGCAACGTTCTCATGCTGCATGTACTTAAGTAATAAAAATAATTTTCAGCCACTAATAATGTTGAACTTGCAATCCAAAAGTCAAACAATTCAAATTAAAGCAAAGCTACAAATTCAGAAATATCCGTATTATAATAGGTACGCTTCTTCTCAGCTCTCTCTATCTTGCTGAAACGTATATTACGTTGCTTATCTTTCTTACTTAAAATACATTGCCACAAATATGTGAAGAGTAAAAATGTAATTATTGAGGAATAGGAGCGCGTCTTGAGGCATTTCAGCTAAGTATTTCGGAAATGTTTTATTAAGAATAAAAAAGTATTAAACCGGCTATAATTGCAGTTATATCCTCATGCATTGTATTCTACCTCATTGCATCACAATTTTATTGTATGCATTTGTGAATAGTCTGATTATATATGTCAGTAGTTAAATCATAACACTTCATATTTATTCCAACAAGCAGTAAAATGAAAGCCTACGAATACCAGAATTTTGAAATTTTACATCTCTTATATTTTTTAATTAATCTGAACTGACATTTTCTAATTTTCGGAAACTTGCAATTCAGTTATTGAAGTTGAAGAATAATACTGTTTTCGATGGTAATGCATATAGGCATAGATAACATTGTGATGTTAGTTAGTGAGTAAAATAATTCATAAAATGGCAATGACTTACCAACAGCTGTGCTCTGAAACATTATGTAAAATAAAGGAAGAAAAGGAAATAATAAATAATCTATGCATGTGCCAATATACTTATTTCAAAGCGTTATAAGAATTTGAAAACGACTCACAGAACACTGCTCCCGATGTTACCAAAATTCGAACGCTAGCATCATGGCCCTCATATTGTACTAGATGGTAAGTTCTAGACGTTTGTGCGTCTGACGCATTAGAACTCTCTGGAAAATCCTGAAAATTGAACACAAAATCATAAAAATGCCCGTATTTTCAGTTATTAACAGTATACTTACCTGAAAGTTTAACATTTCATGTTAAATTAACTTGCAATTAAAATTAATATCAACAATAAAATATTAATTTAACGGTAAGATAGAACTATAACTTCGCATCTCGAAAATTCAGTTTCTTTTCACCTTACGCCAACCTAATACATACACTGTTAAGGAAGGTAATGTTTTTAGCCCAAATATAAGTCTTTCGATTCGATAGTGAATTTTCAGTGAAACATCACAAATTAGGATTCCAAGAACACATTTTTACTATTTTTATGCTCAATGCAGGTCAATTTGTAGAACCCCGTAGGAAAAGCCTGTGTGTTTGTTTGTGGGTAACGTTGTGTTCGCCCCCGATAACTCTTACATGGAACTTGCAAACATTTATCTTTTCCTTATTTAAGCTTTCTACATTCATATAAAGAAATGGTTAGATTTGGAGCAAAACTGGACAACCGGAAGTGGTACATTACAGGAAGCCCATAACAGATTTTAATGAACAACCGGCATCGATACTTTACATGAAGCCCATAACAGCTTATATTGAAATGCTATATAAAAATACAATCTAAAACTTTTCAGTTTAGAATTTAAGACATATATAGGGTGTTTACACATTTTAGAACGATTCTGGAACCATATAATTCATGTTTAAAATGTACAGTGTACATTTTTTTAATGTTCGAATAAGGAGCGTTTCTTCTGAAATATTAATGTGCATCCTCAGCCGCCCAGATGGCATAGTGGTTAGGGAAGCTGACTACGATACCAAAGGGTCCGGATTCGAATCCCGGAGAAGGCATGGTCGTCCCTTCATAGGAGGCAAAGGTGGCCCGCCTATTAGGTGCCTCCATAATAAAGTAACCACCACTTCTGGCGTTAGTAGTGGCCAATCCGAAGTCGGTTGAGGGTCCGCTATTTGTAGATAAAAAGTCTGCAACGTGATTTCCATGATAGAAGGATTTTTGGTGAATGCAATGGACATTAAAATTTCCAGGAGGCTTTGATATCTATTCGTCTTCCACTACCTTCCAGATTCCAGCAACTTTGGTGGGTTTTCACCCAGAAAGAGCTCTTTTGAAAAGTCAAATAGTCCATAGGCGAAACGTCGGAGGCTTTCGCAGGAATACGTTGGAAAGGCATATAAAATATCTGTGTCAGTCTTCATTTTTTAAGGAATCTTCTTATTTTAGATTTCACATTTCATAACCCTGCGACAATCATAAATTTCTCATTGAAACTTTCTTTGCATTGACGGAACCAGGTTTGCGCATTTTTTCCTCTTCGTTTTCGATTATAAATAGACCTATTTTTGTTTCAGTAATTTAATTAAACCCATGCTTCTTCCAGAGTCACAATGTATTTCCATTTTTCTCCTGCTAAATACTTTTCGTACAGGGTTCTACAAATTGTCCTGCATTGAGCTCCATACCTCGGCAAAAGCTGGCGAACATTATGTTTGTTAGCCTTCTTTTAGTTCTAAATCTTGATTTATTATTTTGTTTATTGTTGTTGCAGATGTACCAAAAGACTTTACCATTGATTTCTGCTTCGGCGGACTGCCTTTTGTTACGAACGATTTAATTTTAGAAACTTTAGTAACAATACATACCTTTTTCGAGTATTCATTTAAAAGTCTTTTTGTTTTTCATGTAGAAGTAATAACTGAAGGTTTTTCCCCTTTCCGATTAATAAAGTTACTTATTTTACACTTAGAAATGCTATTACCAAGCATTTCACAATTTTTTTAACTAAGCAATAAGAAATATTTCTATTCAGAAAGCGCAAAAATCTGTCCTTCAATCTATAGCTTGCTTACATACGGCATTTTAAACGAAAAACGAATTTAAAAGTAACAGATGATATTTCACATTTCAAATAGTAAACTATCATCAGAATACTTATTTAGAAAAACATTTGAATTTTCTAAAAGTGTGTGAACACCTTCTGCCATATTAACGGAAACAACACATCAGATTTTGGAATTATTGGAAGAGATATTAGATTTGGAATATATTAGAAACCGATAAACTGTAAATAATACTTTCTTAAATTCTGAATAGATTTTTTGTAATAAAATACAGGGTGGTTTAAAATAATTAATAAAATTAAAGTTCCACTTTGAAATGGTCATAAAAGGCAAACTACTCACCAAATTTTTATCAAACATGGTAATCTTTGTGAAGGAGGTCATGGAAATTATTTTCCGTGAAAAACAAGTTCAAAAACTCACCACCAGGGGGGAAATAATGCTGTATGCAATATTGTTAAGGGAAATAAGGCATGAAGACATCGTTTTAACCGTGTCTGAAACGTGTTACGTTGATGTGGCGTCCACCATTTTCCGAAAGCAAGTTAAATCGTATTACTGCATTCTCAGCAGCAGCTCTTAGCATATCAAAAGGAATGTTACGGACATGTTAATGTATCGCATCTTTCAATTACTCCAAATTGTTTAGATTATTTGCATAAATCATTTGCTTCTTCTTGCCGTAAGCCAATTGCAAGCCATTGTGGTTTTACTTCACCCCAAAAACAGTTTCGTTTTCGAACACGATTATAAACGTTTTAAACCGATAGATTCCGACTTTTATTTCGTTTAACAATCTTGCATACAGCGCCATTTCTCCCCCTGTTGATAAGTTTTTGAACTTTTTGTTTTTCTCAGGGGCATAAATTCCCAAGACCTGACCTCCGTTACATAATTACCAAGTGTGATAACATTTGGTTCAGTAGTTTTCCTTTTATGACCATTTGAAAGTGGAACTTTAAATATAACCACCCTGTATACTATGAGATGATCCAAAACTATCCTCACATTTGGTATATAAAACAGGCATGGGATTGAGAACAGTATACTATTATAAGCTTTAAATGCATTCTTGGAATTACGCTATATGAAACGAGAATAAGTTCACTATGAAGAAGCTCCCTTTATGAAGCAATTAAATGTATTACCCTCAGTCCTGTTTCGTATTTGTTTAAATTTTTCATCGAATCACATTTCAAATAAAAGGATGCTACCACGAAATGTTATCATTAGAAATAACACAGCAAATGTAAATAATACAGCGAATATTTAAAAAATGCATGTTAGCAATTAATCCTTTATTAAGAACTCTGAAGATATGTTGATTTTAAGGATTTTGCTACCGAATTTTATATGGTTAAGTGCGAAGAAAGTGACGTTTAATAAATGAAACTAAAATGTCAAATAAAAAATTTTCTCATCTTATTAATAAAACTAGATACAAACATCATAAAATGAAAAAAGACCTCAAGAAGAAACATAATCTAGAATTCTAAAAATATGTTTCTTTAAATATATTTTATTGTTAATCGTTGATTTGTGAATCTGAAACACTATATGGCCAGTTTATATACCGACACTGAAGCAATTATTTTCAAATCAAAGAATGAGAGCGGATGTGTACGTGAGAACATATAGTTATTATCGTTAAAAAGAATGATAAAAAATGAGTAAGGTTTATAATTAACACTGAGTTATAATGTTTATAAGCAAATTAGATTATATTTACGAACGATCAATCAAATGTGATATTTTGCTTAAAGGTCGTTTGTATTCCGCCAAAAGGGCATGCGCTGTGCACATCAAATATTTTAAACTACCATTACGAATAAAATATTATTTACGATAAGATACCTTTAAAAATATTAATTAATTGCAATAAGCAATTTAAGAGTATTGTTTTAAGAAATTCATTTGGCGAAATCTCCTTTGATACGATTTTTATTATTATTTTCAGTCCACCTAATAAGCTGTATGTAATGACAAATAATTGATTTACAAAGTAAAACTGAGTCACAAATTAAAAATTAAATTATATTGAATTAAGATGATAATCTAAAACTAATGCAACGTTCCACATCCAGAATTTTAGGAATGCTAATGCTTCGCAGAATAACCGTTACCGGCTCCGACAAAAATAATGCTATCAAGCCTTGTCCATAGGTAAATGTATTTTTGAACGCTTTGTTTTGCGTTTGATTTCATATTCATAACATTACTACCAGATGTACGACCTTCTTTTAAAATTCTTGGGCATGATACTAAGGCTTTCAAAGTTGTTACCTTAAGTGCCACAGTGTATAGGAGTTAGGATAGAGTAGTAGTTGGTGTATAAGAGCATTACGCGACAGATCCGTGTGTTATCGAGTACAGAGCCACAGTCTCTATAAATACCACTTTCACTTTCAGGAGCACTGTAAGTCTGCCAAATGTAGATTTCGCAAATGTTAATGCTGGTTAGAAATGTTATATGGTTATAGGATTTTTAGAACTTTAAGATATGCTATGATTATTTTTATTGTTTGTAAGGTTTGGTTTTAGTATGAAGTCTCTTGTACAGGTAATTTGCTACTTTTACTATCAATCTAATAACTGTGGGCTTGAGACACTGTAGGCTATTTTTTATTTAAATAAATTATCCAAAAACATATTTCTTGTTATGAACGTTACGAAAAAAAAGTAAAATGTTAATAATAATAATAATATATAATGATTTCAGGTACGAGTTTTCCAGAGATGCCAAAATCAATTCTTGTAGAAGTTTCCAGAGACAACAACATTCTCAAAAGTCTTGCAAAGAAAAAACTTTGCGAAACCTTAATTTAATAGAGTACGAAAGGAACTTTTGATGCATAAAGTTCGAAGAACTAGAAGAACAAGCTATTGTTCAAACAATAACATGACGAATGCAAGCCAAGAGAGTCAATATTTAACATACTGAGAGTAATACCTAAGGTTTTTTTGAAAAGATAAATATAACAAACAACACGATGGCCGGTTACACCTAGAAGATTAATTACACCTAGAAGCTTAATTACAACTAAGCCCGAATAAAAATTTATTTTCTAGTGCGTCGGGAGGTTTGGTTTAATTCATTACGGGCAAAGCAAACAAGGACTATCCGCCTAAGGAGAGGGATACCACCT